TCCTATTCCTAATCAAGAGGTTGTCACAGTAGCAGAAGTAATGATACAGCATAGGATTTCCGGGTTCGAAGTGCCTCTTCAGTTACGTTTCGGTCAGGGAATGAATTTTACCTCGTCTGTAATCAAAGAACTCTGCAAGCTACTCGGCATTGAAAAATCCCAAACGACGCCTTTACACCCCTAGTCATACAGCATGGTAGAGCAGTTTAATCGGATCATCCTTAATAACCTCAGGACTAGGACAAGAAGTTACTACTGTTTTTACTGGCTTACCGCAGTACTGTCTACGAGACTACTAGCTATTCCCCATCTCAGATGCTCTTCGGTCACGACCTCCGTCTGCGTTGTTATCTTCTGTTTGGTCCCCCTCCGGATGCTGATCGAAAGGATTACATCCAAGATCCCCAAGCTTGGTGTGAAGTGATGCACAATTTTGCACGAGAGCGGGTCAACTTGGTGACTGAAAAGATGAAGACCCGATACGACACGAGAGCTAGATGACATCGATTCAACGAAAAAAACAAGGTGTGGTTGTAGAATACGATTCGACAGAAAAAGCTGCGTTCACACTGATCCGTTGAGGCGTCAAGCTTAATAAGAAAACGCTTTCCGCATATGTCAGTTCACATCAGTGCGGCACCTTTCGTTTTAAAAGTTGTCATATGCTCGCACTAGATGATGCTTCATATCGGAAACTTGGGGAAAAGCGTGAAATTTTTTTTTTTTTTTTGATTACATTTCAAAATTAAAATGGATTTAATTTCTGCTCAATTAAAATTTATTTTACTTCTTGCTTTGTGCGAGAGATGCAGAATGCAGTGGTTTATATTAATATGTGAGAGATGACTGCAGTAAGGAGAAGCAAGTAATTTAATTGAAGAAATTCGCTTGAACGAAACGAAATTTCTTTTAATTACTTTCGTATGACACCTCATCAATTCGATGAATTTCTAGCTCGCATTGAACTATTTATTCAAAAGCAAGACACTAATTTTTGTCAGAATATCCCAGAAAAGAATCATTTGAACTATACGAATAGGATATCCCAGAAAAGGACTGTTGTATATATCTATTTTAATTTATTTATGAATTTTTTGTTGAATGACAATTAAAAATCCTAAGTGCATGATTCTATTTTGGAGAGTAAATTTTTCATGCGGTAGAATACCATAAATGTTTTCGCATGTATGAACTTCCCTTAAATAAACTTTCCTTAATTGGTTTAAATAATGCAATAAAAAAGTATATTTTGTTTAAATATATGTAGGATTTACAGCAGTACTAAATTAAATATCACACTTAAAAAAAGCAGTTATTCTGAGGTTAATAAACAACATCAATTTTTTAAAAAAATATTTTAGTTTCTGCCATATGTACATATTTTTTACCTTAAATGTAACACTAATTACTTCAATTAATCATTCATACACTAATGAACAGCCACTATCTAAAGGTTTATTTTATAAGTTCACTTTTATCTAAAACTCATTGAAGTAGCTTCATTTTATATTCTTTTTCTGCGTTAAAAATTGAATTCCACAATTAGCAGATTTGCTAATGCTCCTCCCGAAAGTTTTTTAAATTAATGATAAATTATCATTAAGATTAAACCTGTCGAAAAGTGGTCATGCATGTTAACAAAAACAAACGAAATCAGATACATACTAGCAAGCTTCTTTTCTGTATAAATAACAGTTTTGTCACCACTCGTTTAAAATTCAGAACTCACTAAATTTTTAATTAGATGAAACAGCAATTTTATACTAATACCAGTATCGCTTTTGTTAGTCTCCTGTCAGTCGAAACAGAATCAAATTATAGTAATCAGATCTTCTTATGAATTATACCAAAGGCTCGCTGTCAAAAGAAGGATAATGCATACAATGCCGAACGAAAATCAGGTTTGTATGTATGATGAATGAAATGAAAAATAAGTGCAAGTTTTTTGTGTCACGCCCCCCCCCCCCCCAAAAAAAAGTCGCGGTATATTAAAAAAAAGTATATTTGTACCATCATCAAAGGTAGGAAAAAGCAAGGCCCGAACCCGCAATACAAGCTAGTAAAAGCTGAATTTTTTACTTGAGCGTGTTACCTCCGTGTTAAGGTACCTTGCGGGTAAGCATCATTTTTACATTTCACCGTCAGGAAACTGAAGAAACATCTGGGCTACTCTGAAACTAGCCATAATATTTTCTGTAAATACTTTTTTAAAAAATACCAATTCCATTACAACACCACTCTGGTGACGCTTGAATTAAAAATCTTCAACTCAAGAAGCCAACGTTTTATCCACTAAGCAACAAGAGCAACCTTAAACTGATGTAGATATATTTTAAGAAAAATTCAGAATCTGGGATCCACCATCTCGCAAATGCCGCCTCTGAACTCGCTTCTGATTGGTTGACGCTTTGATGTGAACGCAGCTAAAGGACTGTGTTCTAAACTACATTCTCCTTGGGATGGTCCTTACACAGTCCTAAACAGGCTGAACGACGTCGTGGTTCGGATGCGTAAGTCATCGAATTCTAAGCCCAAAATCGTTCACTACGACAGGTAATGTATATAATGTAAATAGTTTAAGATCACGTTCCTTTTTGTTTCTAATTTTGTAAATTTATCCGCTCATTTAGTGATTCGTATTTGATTTATTTTATGTTACTTATTGCAGTTATTGTTTTTGTTGTTTGTTATTGTATTGTAATGCGTATTATTGCATTGTTGCTTTAATTATTGCAAGTATTAAATGTATTATTGGTATATTATTGCAAGTATGGCTTTCTGTCCAGAGATTGTACTGCCCGGGACGTGCAGTCGTTGGGGAGGGAGCAGTGTTACGAATTTTGTATTTAGTTAGATATTTTTAGTAGAATTATAATTAAATTTGTTTTGTTTTCGCGTGCAATGGAGCACGAGACACGTTTTAAGAGAAAGCTAAGCCAGAAAATAAAAAATACAGGAGCACGCGCATTTAACATTTAATAAATATCTTGTAATTTATACTTCAATTGAATAAATGTAATTGTGTGCTGTGTCAGCTGTAACCGTAGTTCTACTCTTTTGCTTTCTAGAAATATCTAGAAGCATAAATTACTCCTCTCGCGACCGGTTTAAAGGTATAAAATGCCAGACAGAGAACATCTCATCTCAGTTGTTTAGTTGTTGATTGGATTAGCTTTCTCTGCGTTAGCAGTTTGATGGATAACTACTTATATAATTCGTGATATTTTGAGCACGTATAAAAATATCTCTGAGGAAAATTCCATTCTATTCTTTTGATAAGAATAAATTTTATTAGCCTTTTATTGGACTTGTGCATTCAGTCTGTTACGAACCCGTACGCATGCAACAATATTGAAAATTTACTTGAAGTATTTTCGCTCTTAAATGAACTCGGACTAAAAATAAATGCAGCTAAACGTCAGTTCGCTGCTCCAGAACTTCATTCCTTAAGATGCCAAATATCGGGTAATGGTATCGAAATACAAAATTTAAAAATAATTGCGATTAAAAACTGCTCTCTATCAAATACTGCAAAGAAACTGTCATATTTCTTAGACATATGTCCATATTATATAACTTTCATTAAAGACTTCGCTCAAATAGCCGCACCATTATTACAGTTAAAGAAAGACAAAACCCGGTTTACTTAGTCAGCCGTGGCCAATACGGCGCTTAAAAAATTAAAACATCCATAACACAAGCGCAGGTATTAAAATTTCTGGAAGGCAACGAAAACGAAAATTTGGAAATTTCGGCAGATGCCCCAGACTATGCCGTGTAAGCCGTTCCTATCTGAGTAAAATGCATTATCCCACGCAGAGGAACTGTAGTGCTACAGAGTGAGAAACATTCGCAGTTCTGCTAGCAGTACAAAACTTCCCAGTTTACTTTGAAAGTCGCCGATTACAGTTTATTCAGATCATGCGGCAGTCGGAAGTTTATATTCAGGAAAGAATTTGTCACAAAGATTGATTCGATGGGCTCTTAAACTTCCAAGAGTTTAACTTATTATCAAACAACACTCCAGGGAAGGAAAATACGGTGGTTGATGCGCTTTAAAGAATAAAGTTGGATGACAAAGGAAACACGGTAAAGGGCGCTATGCTGGCGGCTTAAATACTTGACTTGCACCGGACAATTATACAAGAATTGAAAAGACAATTATACAAGAATTGATCCCGAGTTTTAAAATATTTATTTTTACATAAAGGATCCAGATTATTCTGAATACCTGGATATTACGGCAATTCGAAACAGAGCCGAGAAGTACGAACTCATTGATAAACTGTTATTTTATTTAAAGACTACAAATCAAAATTTTGAACTTAGACCGATTATTCCAGGGACTTTAAATATTTTAAATAAGCTAAGAAAAACAGTACAACGAGTTCGAGATGCGCTGTTTTTTCCGCAGTTACGAAAGCTCGTAAAGGCGTATATCAGGTCGTGCCATATTTGTCACTTAAAAAACGAAGTTAATTATAGCCCGGCCGGGAACTTAAAAATTATAAAAGAAACATTCCCAAGCGAAATGGCGTTATAGACTTAATGGACCCATATCCCTGCACCGCAAGTCAATAAAAATAGATATGTACCTATTATCGCAAACCATTTCTCTAAATGGATGAATACGCGTAATGTGACATCACTAAGACCCACTTTCGCAATTTTGTCTACGACGCATATTTTGAGCTTCTTACCAAGGGTTCTTAAAAATATTCTTAGGAAACGGCATGTTAATAATATTATTATATACTGTATTGGTTGAATTTTTGAGTTGAAAATTACTTCCTTCCTATGTATACAGGTTGGTGGGAGATAAAAATATCTCAAATCACTTAATAAAGTTTGAAACATAGTGACAGTGAAGGTATTTAATGCTATATAAAAGCTCATAAAACATTCCTTGTTAAACAGATATTTTGTGTGTTAAATATTACTTAATATGTAATAACATATATTAAATAGAAAATATTGTGAAATTTGCATAAAAATAAACATTTTAACAAAATCATAAAGATTTATTTTTTTAAACTTCTCCAATCAAATAGTTTATTCACAATCAACAGCAGTATCATAAATTCTTTCATAACAAGAAGGCAAGTGAGCACACGGCACCACACTTAAAAATATGACTAACAAAATTAAATTAGTTTAATCAATGCATGAAATGTTTTACATTATTGCCTGAATATATACATGCACATATAGTATAGATATATATATATTCAATTATAGAAAATTCATATTTTTCATTTCTTGGAATGATTTATAAATATATATTATATTTATATATTATATATATTATGCTACATGACTTCAAAATATATTAAATACCATACAGAATACACACACAAATACATCTAACTTCTTTTTCTGTACAAGATACTTTTCTTTACATTAAACACACTGATGCAGTTATGCAATATTAACAATAAAAACATGTAGTTTCCAAATTATTGCATTCTGTCGATTAGCCATAATAAATAACTTAAAACTGGAATGAACACAACCTATTCGAGAAATATACATTTGGTTTGAAAAAGGGAAAAATGAAGAAAGTGCTGAAACTCCTCTTCGAAGACAGTGCACCAAATTTAAATACAGAACTCCACATAATCTACTAAACAGAAAACAAATATTTGAAATATTACAACAATACAAATTAAAATGCCTTTTCATTAGTTTGAAGGTTTAAATGAATTTGAAGACAGTAAGTAGGTATGTTTTCCCATATAAGATAAAATGTAAAATATAATTAAATACTTCACTTGTGCCTATAAATTTCCTTGAAAGACACACAAGCAAGTATTTTCTCAAACATGTTTTCAAAATGTCAAAATAGTCCGAAAGATTAATTTTGTAACATTAAACTTTTTTAAAAGAACAGTAACATTTTAAATTATCTTAATTAAAATATCAAATATATCACATATTTAAAATTATCTTTTAAAATGTTTTATCAGACTCACTTCTCTGAGTTGTATAACTAATCATTAAGTCTGGATTTACTGCACATTTATTATTTCTGTTTTGCAGAATATTTTGCACCTCTAATCACCTCTCTCAATGTGATTGTTTTAAAAATGAACAGTAATGCAAAATATGATACAAAACAATGTAATCTGACATTAAGTAAGTCAAGCACTTCATGCAGGTATGACAATTACCAACACTCAGTGATTAATAGATAAATTTATCAATATTTAACACATTTAGATTTGAAAGCAACTGCAGCTTATATTTTGAGTACTTTTAAAAGTAGTGAAATTTATTATTTGGAAGACTTATTTGTCACATACATTCTCTAAATATAATTAAAGAAGTCATCACCCAATTCTATACAAGGAAATTTTATTTAAAATGTAAAGGAAAGCAGAACAACTTACTTACAATTAACATATTTGTTCTATTTGCAAAAAGTCAAGTAGTTGAAAAATTGATAAAGAAAAGATTAAAAAGTATTTAAATTTACACAATAGGCATTTCAAAAATGCTCACAATTAATTGTCCTTATAATGTTCCATTTTACTGGGAATGATAGAATACTTTAAAATGCATACAAGGATGAGAATTGTGACACTTAAATATCTCATATTGCACTGATTAGTAATAAAGCATTTCATAATGACTTTGGCAGAACATAACTGCATTGAAATGGAATCTCAAGTTATTTAATAGAATAAACATTTTTAAATCTATACACTGGCACCACACTCTATATCACAATCGATTCAAGATCACCATTTTTTGAATGACTTTACTATTTATGTCAACAATACTCAGAACGACGACTAGATGCCAAATTTATCATTTTCATAACTGTTTCTAATAATTTTACTTCAAGAAATAACTGATAAATTTTTCTTCTACTTTTGAAATTATTTTCAAAAATAGAATTTTAAAATATGCAGTGAAAGAAATACTGCAAAACATTGCTCCTTTTTTCCTTATAAAGAATAAAGAAACTAATGTATAATGCATTTTCCTATTAACAGAACCATATCAGAATCTAGCAATGACTAAAAACTTTCTCATATCTTTAGACTAATTTTTAAAACGAAACTCTTAATTTAACATACATTCACAAATGCTTAATTTTTTTTACTCAAACAGTAGCAAATGACTATTTACATCTTAACGTATAAAACACATGGAATCAAGATTTTTTAATTCTTATATTAAGCAATTCTGAAAATATACACTGTAGCAACTATATTACATTCAAGCTGCATTTAATTATATATTTGTATCATAACATACTCAAAAATATCTCAGATGAAATTGCATAGGAGTAGGATAAATATGCTTTTTTTATTGCATTAATAAATAATGGAAACATTACATTTTTTTAATACTAGAAGATTGAATTAACATTAAATATCACCAATATATTTCAATCTTACGGCCATCAACTATAAACTGCACATTCCAGCAACAATACACATTTTAAAGATTCTTTGCAACTCATAAAATGCAGTCTTTAATTTTCACACTTGCAGACAGTACTACAGGAACTGCAATATATTCTATAATACACTGTCAGTATTTCAGGTTCAATCATACATTAATAACTACAGATCAAACATACATAGGCACAATTAGTGCAATTATCAGATAAGCACTTGAACTCACCCAAGGAATTCTTATATATTTAATGCACTTTTTAATATTGGACCCACATATCTCAACTTGTTTAAAGATTGTTTAAAGATTCAAATAGATATTAAATACTGATAGAGTTTATATTTACCTAATTCTAAGCAAATGCTGGTTGATTAATGAAAAAGTATAAAATGTTTCAAGTCTTCCCCTATTCTTATGTACCAAAACTGATTTTTACAACTAGGGTGTTTGCTCAATATTAACTGTATGTCCGAAATTTACCAATATAAAACAACAATATACTATTTCAAAAAGTGAAAGTTAAATGTTGATGTAAGAAACATTTAAATTTATAAATTACTATAATGTAAGAACATACAAGTTTATAAATTATACTGTAAGAAACACTCAAATACAGTATAATCTCTGTTAACCTATCAGTTTAAAGAAATCACAGGAAAAATGCAGTAATATTACAAAAGGTAAAAATAATAATAATTATGGATTCTTTTATCAGTGATTAGTCATTTAGCCTTTTTCTCTGAAATAGGTCATTTAATGGCCTTGTTGATTATAAAAGATGTGGGTTACACAGATGTGTTAAATATGAAAGCAATATTAACAGTCTGATTCAACTGATGATGCATTTGAAAGTATGTTTCAAAGGATATGCAGGCATAGTTCAAGATGGAGGCTCTGAAATAAATATACTGAGGAAACAGCAAATCAATTTTTTTAGTTTTAGAAACAAAATCATTTATGCCATAGATCTGAGAATAATAAAAACTACAATTATGTTGAGAGTGATGACAAAATGATAATAAACAACACGAAAATTAAAAATGTTGAAACCTTAAGCAAAGTTTTTTAATTTGAAAAGGAATATCCTTATGTTTCATCTCTAGATCTTTTGTTGACAGAAATATGACACGATTGTGTAGTAGCTGACATAATTATAAGATTATCATAAAAAGGAATAGATCAATATTTTTAAAAAAAATTGTCGCATAAATATGCACATAAGAAATTTCACAAAATTTCCCAAGTTGTGCATACTTCAATGCAGTTTTCTTATTGCTTTTTGTGAATATTTCTGTCACAGATAAAATATTGTAAAGATTATCTATTTAACTAATAAACAAAGTAAATTTTATTTATATATTTTGCTAAAATGTTAGCTGCAGTATTTGAGCCTTCATTTTTTTTTTTTTTAATTTAAAAATTAGAGAAACCTTGTCAAAACTGGCACACTTTAAAATGCAATCTCTTTTAACCGAGTTTTCAATTTTTGAACTGGTTACAGTCCCACTTCAAAATTTTACTGTTTATATATAACAGAACTATATATATATATATAACTATTTATATAAATTACTTTTTACAGAGAAAATTCATTCACGCTTTGTTATAACACCTTAATTTTTTTACAGAATAAATACACTAATCTATAAAGATATTCTGTCAAATGAAAGCTTTAACATACTTGAAACTGCCTGCTAAATTTGGAAACTTTTTTAAATGTTTTACTTTCACAAAAAAAAAAAAAAAAAAAAAAAAAAAAAGCAAATATAATCTAGCATTTTGATCCTAACTTTACATCTTATTTAATAAATAAAGTAACATTCTTGTCGCTGCATAACTACCTGCACAGAAAAGCTCGACCTCAATGATCTGTTCCAAACTGTTACATAGTCCAAAAATAGTTTCTTAATTTTATCATTCTATCATGTTACACATTTTAAATTATTTAAAAGGAGGTCAAATATTTGCTTAGTTACTTAAGAAAAATCAATCAAGGATGTGTAATATAATGTACAAGAACCTAAAAACTAAATATTTGTTGAGCAAGAAATGTTCTCAGATCTTTCTTTTAGAGGCATGTAGTACCACCCACAAACTATAAGAACTATGCTCAGCTACACAATAAAAGTATACAGTCCAAATTCACCTTAAATGGTGCGAGATGTAAGGAAATGAATAACAGTACATTTGTATGACAACATCCATGCCCATTGATGTGCAACAGTAAGACAGTTTCTTGCTGGAAATGATACAGTCCACTTATTTCCCTGTCACTTTTACTCCTTTTCATTAATGTTCAATACAAGTATACATTCCACTTATCACACACTTATTCCCCTGTCACTTTTATTTCTTTTCATTAATAAAACAAACTTTGCAGGGATGTAGATTTACAATAATACAAGATTCTCCCAAAAATTGAACTTTTAATTTTCCTCCTCTGTCTTTCCTTATCAAACAAAACAACATTCTTACCAAGTATAATGAACTAGCTAACAAATTAAGCATGAATACTGAGAAAGGAATGAAAGAAACAAGTAGTGGAAAAAATGGATTTAAACCATTCGAAAAAAAAATACGTATGGTTTTAAAAAAATATTAAATTCTGGAAAGTAAAAAAGAAAGCTGTAATAATAGTACAATAAATATTACTCCTATGTTTCAAAACTGATGGGCCAAGATTTATACTAAATAAAAAAAAAGTGTTTAACTAATGTAGTTACTTACATACTTATGAGTGCAATTACTTTAGAAATCATCAGATTTTCAGAATCTGCATATCTGCAGTTTTAACAAGCAACCTGGACATTTTCATGTACTTATAGAATTTGTATATAATGAAAGAAACTGCAGCAAACATTCAGTAGGTATACAATATTTGATGAAAAATCTTTAAAGGGAATCACTGCTCTAAATTCTTACTGTGACTGCCACAGAATTTCCAAAAATCTAAGTAAACAAAAACTCATTTGTAAGTAGGTTTATTTATGAATTTTTGAAATATATATATATATATATATTAAAATCATAAGACACCATTCTTTTCCTTCTGTTAAAAAAAAATTAAAACTGTCTTCCGGTGGTTGCACTAATATGCAAGTTTGGTTTTTTTTTTATACCGTAATGACATATTCTCATAATTTCTAAACTGTCTTATTATTTTTAGGGAAATTGTACTCCTAAGGAGAAGGGTGATAAGATAGCTACAGTTTTGAAAAGAACAACATGTAGCTCATTGACAAGTGGTAAGGGAGCTGTAGTTTAATAAAATTATTTCACAGATGAAATGATTAAAATACTTTTTTTCTTTACTTGCTCTCTCAGCATTTTTTTTTTCAGCATTTTTCTCAAACAGCATTTTTTTTGGCAGGTTAAAAAATATGAACTTTAAAATATGAACTTTTTATTATTTGAGAGGATTGTTCTGCCCAACTTCCCCAATTTTTTTTTTGAGAAAGTTCCAGAACTTTCTCTGATTACGTTTTAAGTGAGCGTGACGATACATTAGACAAAAACAAAAAACAGCACTGAAGGATAATAGGTGGCTGCAAGAGATGACTCATGCCAATACATCCAGCCGTACAAATGCTAGTAAAACTGCACTGTCACACAAGGAGATTATTTCCAGGATGCACTTGCATAAGTATTTTAAATTATGTGCCAAGTCCTCATACTTTTGGATCTTACTACACACCCACACCATTAGAATTAGAATCGTTATGAAACTATCAGTGAGCTAACACAGTTATAAAAGCCTTAGCATATTAGTACAAATATTACAGTACTCAAATCCAGTGAAACTTCCCTAAGATGATCACTCATGAGCAACTGTCACACCAGAACATGACTGAGTTAATATTCAATACTATTATTATTTATGATCTCAGAAGTACTGCTACCCTTAGAAGTGGTCAACTCAGTAAGGCTTTACAGTCTACATATACTAAGTACATGAAATGCCAAATTATAGATTCTAAAAGAAATAATATTCACATTGAAAAATTCTTTCAATTATAAATCCTTTGATAAAACTTTTTGATATATTGGTTAGATTATAAAACTATAATATGTACAACTTGGAAATCGGAATTTTTGATAATAAAGAAAAAATACACAATATCAAACCTTTTGTAATTTAAATTATGGAATTTTACATTTTTTAACTGAATCTGAAATCAACTTTTAAATAAAATTTTAATGTATTAGAATATTAAATGCATGCTGTTTCAAAATTTGTGATATGTGTCAAAATGTTTAAATATTTAAACTAATCTTTCTCGCAACACACCCTACATCACAAGGTAACTTGTCATTCTTTAGACATATGAAATTTCTTTCAGCCAATAATTAGCCAGTGAAATCAACATGATTAGATATGTGATGCTCAAGCAACAGGACTATTTTAGCAACTGTCAAACTAATCTGAATTATAAGCAATAAATAGAATGCTTTTAATATAATAAATGTAAAAAATCCAATGAGGAAATACTCTGTTACTGAGTATTAAAATGGTTCATGATGCTTTAATCTTAAGTTTATACACATTTACATCATGCAGTATGCACCAATAGTTTGTGATTTAATTGCTAACGTACTTGTTCCTATATATTATGTGCAAAATATATTCTGAGGCACTTAATGAATGAAAAAACTTTTCTAAACTAGTCGAAAAATTTCATAATAGGCCCGTTTGAAAGACATGAGACATCAAGCAAGTACAATTGCATTTCAACTCGAGTGGACCCAATTATGCATATATGTACAATTTTTCTAGAAAACTAACTATATTCTGAAGAAAATAAAAATATTCAATATGAAATCAAGAGAAAATTTTCTGTTATTTAAAGTATTTTTGTCAAGTAACTTTCAATTATTTAAATTTGAGGACAATTCTATTTATACATTTCATAAAAATAAATTACTTAAATTACTCTCATGGCAATTACATTTCATAAACTTATTCAATAATTTACAAGTATTGAGATACTAATAAATTAATGATATAGTGATTTTTAATTCCAGAAAGAAATTAAACAAGCTCTCATTTGTTAAACACATGAAAAGGCAATTTTTCAGTTTTTTATTTTACTCGAAGCAGAACCCGTCAACAGGTTGATATTACTTTAGCTTTCTTAATTCTTCTAGTGTTTTGTCTAGTAGCAGGAATTTCAGCGATGAAAACACAATCTTCGTCACTTTGAGAACTAACAACAGGAGCAGGTTCCTGCTTCCGCTTGCAGGAACGAGTTGTCGGCCTGTGTTGAACGTGTGCATTTCCCTTCGAACACTTCTCAAGTTGGTCACTGGCTGACCATGTCACAGTTCCATGAAGTAATCTAGTCTTAGAAATGTCAGGTAATGTAGACAAATAGTCAGCAACTCTTTCTTCGGAGTAATCAAACACGGAATGTTTGTCTTTTGTTATTTTGTGATTCCCATCTTTCTCAGAAGATGAAAAACATGAATATGAAGTTCTACTTGATGAAATATCACTACTAAGAGAAGAGCTGCTGCCCACATCTGTTGAACTTTTCTTTTGTTTACGACGTTGTGCAAGAGGAGCGGCAGAAACATCTTGCAAGCGAAAACCATCTCGTGTTGCTTTATGAAAGGCATCCATGGTAGCATTAAGGACAGTTCTGCTACTCTGGGAGAAGTTAAGGAACTCAAAACATCAGGCGTCATAAGAGGAGTACTAGAATATGTTATAAGTTTAGGAGCCTGGACCCATGGATGTAGCCTCAGTTGTGGCATTGTAAGTCGCTGATGAGGATCAACTGTTAGAAGACCTTGAATAACCTCCTTTGCTTCCTGAGACACAACATCCCATTGAGGCCCAGTGAATGAAAACTCGCCCTCTCGAATACGTTGCATTATTGCAGCTGCACTAGCTTCCCTGCTGTAAGTTTGAAAAGGAGTTTTTCCAGACAACATGGTGTACTGAAAAGAAAAATTTATGAGAGTAATTTACAAATAAAGCAATACTACAAATTTAATACTGGCTAAATGCTAAGGAAATCTTTTAAACGGTACTGCTTCAACTTTTCTTAATAATTACAGGAGCCAGAGCATAAAAATATAAAATAAGAAGTCTCAAAGGTTTCAGACTTTAACGGTTATCCAAAAGGGCTCTTTTAAAGTATAATATGGCCTACCAGTAGAGATTATTAACAGAGATGGTCCAGAAAGAATAATGAAACATTTAGACTAACATGAGAACATTCTTTCATGTATTTGAAAAAATTATAAAAATTTTATATTCTATAAAAAAATATTTAACGATTTTAATTAGACATATCTTGAATTCAATGCATTTTTATTTCAATCAATGCAATTTAAAAGTCTAAGAACAATACTTTGAAAACTGCATCTATTTTTTTAAACAGCTTAGTTTGTTCATTAGTGGCATAAAGAATTAAATTAAAAAGATAAACATTTTGCTGAAAGGCAACAGCCTTGAATGAAAAGTAAAGCATTTACAATGGATTACGTACTATGATGAAGTGAATACATGCAAAATTGTTTTTCAGGACTAATAACCTTTTTGAGCAAATAAAAGCAATACATGCCCCACTTTCAAATTTTACATCTAGAAATTTAAAACTTAAGATTGAAAAAGCAATTTTTAATTATAAACATCTTTAGTTTTAACTATCAATATATAATTAGTGATGGCTGTTACATAATGTAAAATGAAAACATTTAAAAGTATCAAGAAATACATTCTGTACTGATAAAGAATACTTTGCACACAAAAGATAATTTCCTTATAAAAAAACATAAATCTTGTTTTGTATAAGGTATAATCTTGCAAATTTGGAAGATAAACACCTTACATTTTTCTGAATGGCAACAAACTCAAATGAAGGTAAAGCATTTACAGGGTACGACATTTAAAGTGAATCCACCCAAAATTCTGTTTCGAGACTAATAGCCTTTTGGGGCTAATAAAAGCAATAAATGACCCACTTTCAAAATTTTACATCTAGAAATTTATATATATATATATATATATATATATAGTATCAAAAATTTTTATTTAAAAACAAAATAATAACAAGTTATTTCCATGCAATATGCTACAAAAAATTAATCAGTATAGATAAAAAGTGAGAAATTTAGAACCAATTTCAGAAAGACCCAAAAGAAGTGAAATTCAATACCAGTAAATTTCAAAATTTCCTATAAATATGTATAATAAACCAAAGTCAGAAGAATTTAAGAACTACAAATACCACAAAAATAAATACACAGGAAGAGAAATGCAATCACTTTCACTTCTTTTGGGTCTTTCTGGAACTGATTCAAAATTTCTTACTTTTTGTCTATAAACATCATTAAACTCCAAATCCAAATGTAGCAACCAGTATGCATTCATCTTTAAAGAGAACATATGGAAATGTGTAATGTCTATATTTACTTTACCGTTTTGAAAACAGTTGCATTTAAGAAATGGACTGGATGCAATGATTGAAGTGGTTGCATCTAAGATTTATTTGTAGAAGAAATGTTAGTTTTAATTATGGACATGGTAATTTTTCCGTGTGCAACAAATTTGGCATCCCTGTACCGAGAGTGTCACAGAATGACATCAAATTCAACTCTAGATTATTTTGATAATTTAAGAAAATAAGTGAAAAGTTTTTACGCTCAAGCATGGAGGATTTGGAGGTAACAAAACTAAAAACGAAAGCTGTTAGAAGAGCATTTATGAAAACAGCTAATAAGTTGCAAATGCTGATTTGATCAGATTTCCTGGACTTGGATGATTTAGAAATTTAGATTAAATTCCCAAAAATTATAAAACTTTATGAAATATGGATGACTCTTTTTCTAGAACTTCTACAGAAAAAAGTTTCTATTCAGGAAAAATAAAAAAGATAATTTAAGGCAGTTCAAAAATATTATGATGCATTACTTGGAAGTAAAAAGCCAACAAAAGGAGGAAAAAAAAAAAAAAAAGAAGAAGAAGAAGAAGAATATGTATTCACAGCCCTTCTATGGATGCAACAAATATCAGTACTTCATTGGTAACAGAAGTAAACACCATAAACAAACCGTAGACCGTAAAACAAACTCCCAGAAATCTAGCTGGTAAAACTTGATGGGGGACCCTTAAAACTGACTAATGTTTTGTGCGAGATTCAGTAAAATACATAAACATACATTGACAAGAGAGACAAGTTTCATTATCTGCTCCAATGAACAAAGCCTAAGACAGTACCAAAAGCAATATTTGAGTTTCCTGCTATGGAGGAAGATTACAGAAAAGCTGTGGAATACTTCAAAGAAAAATTTTGGAAATTAAAATGTTTTAATTCAAGTTCATATCAGAGAACTATTAAAACGTATAATCAATGACAAACAGAAAACAGACTTATTAACTTTTTATGATAACCTGCAAACTCAACTATGCAATCGTAAGAAACTATAAAATTGTAAGAAAAATGCACAATTTACAACGCATAAGAATTAAAAAACTGAGCTCTCTCAATATATATATGTATATATATATATATATATATACCCACTCTGTTACCTGGCTCATTTATATGAGGTGTGACACAAAAGAAATGAAACTAAGAGACTCAGGTAGCTTGAAGAAAGAGTGGAGTTGGCAACAACTGTTTTGGTGATGTCATCCCACACACCTCCTCTATAAATGCAGAAAGTTTCGACTTAACACATCACACCAGTTGGGAGTAAAGCGTCATTGAGTGAACATGTGCAACTGCTTTCTACAGGAAAAAATGTCTAATGTAAAAACCAAACAGCAAATCAACATCAAGTTTCTTGTGAAACTTAAGAATCAACCATGGAAACATTTCAAATGTTAACTGAGGCTTATGGAGATGAAACTTTGTCTCATTCACATGTGTTTGAATGGCATAAGAGGTTTTCAGGAGGAAGGCACAAAGCATGCATGTCAAAATCAAAATTCAAGGCAACGTTGTCTTCTTCGACATTAATGGAATTTTGATGATTGAGTGAGTTCTCAGTGGTCAGACTGTTAATCAACACTACTACACTGAAGCAGTAAAAAGACTGAAAAAATTAGGAAAAAAAGGCCACAGTTGTGGAGTGATGGATGGCTGTTGCACCAGGACAATGCAACTGGTCACACAGCCCTATCTATCAAGCAGTTTCTGACCAGCAAAAACATTACTATGATGGGGCATCCTCCTTATTCAGCTCCACAAGACTTTTTTTTATTTCTTAAAACTAAATCTTGCTTACGGAGAGGCCATTTTATCTCTGTTGAAGAGGTTCAGGCAAAAACGAAGAATCTCATGAAGGGGCTTCCAAAAATCTCGTTCCAGAACTGTTATCAACAATGGCAGCACCAAATGCAAAAGTGTGTGAATGCCTGAAGGGGACTACTTTGAAGATGATAATATCACAGGGAATTGATTTTATAAGTACAATTATTTATTGGACCAGTCTCATTTTTTGTGTGTCACACTTCGTATATGTATATATGCACCTGGTGCTGCCAATTGCAATAAAAAAGGGAAGTGCATGACTACATGTTATAGCAGTTTAATATACAAAATTTATATATGCACATAGACAGGTCAGCTATCGGTGACAACAGTGCTACCAGTTTTTACTTCATCCTTGTGAAAGGAAATTTCCCTGTTAGCAAATCAATGACAAACTTTGACATGGAGGTAATGTCCATCAGTAAGGTGGCAGCAAATGCCCTTTACCCCCTAGATTTCAAACAAAAAGCAATCTTGCTCTCACACTCAATGGCTTCAATACGAGCAATCATCAGGGCAGAACCTCCTGAAGAACAACTTAACCCAGTGCAAGGAAATACTCCTTAACTACAGGAGACAATAGATATTCATGTACAATGGGTCCTGGGACACTGCAACATCACAGGATATGAACACACAAAGAAAGGATGCTCTATGCACCTGATAACACACAGAATCATATGCAGCAAAATTACGCCAACAGTCAAGAAGACCGTGGATGATGCATGAAGGGCAGCTGCTGTTGGTAAAAGATGGGAAATGGTTATAACAAGATTCATCCCCAACAATCTGCCCTGAAATGTAGCAGTAGCCACCTTCAGATTGACCACAGATCACCTCCATGGCCATCTCCACAAAATCGGCATTGTCAGCTTCCCCACAAGCCTGTTAAGTAACTCAGAAGGAAATGATGATACCCTCTCTGCACCCTGAGAAAACACAGTGGAAGGATGGGCATGGCTACACTGGATGGTATGGCATCAAATGGCTGAAGAACAACATACAAAATTTTGACATTCCATAGGTAGTACTTGTTTTTGAAAGATGGATTTTGTATGTATGTACAAACATCGTGGGAAAAAACATTTTCTGAATCCATTTTACAATCTGTTTCAGAAAAAAGTATCCTTTATTCTGTCCATAAGTACAGATGTCACACAAAAACATCCTTCAAATAGGTTCAAAAGCGGTGAAAATGGATATTTTCATTGAAATAATGATACCCAAAATTTTTTGCGACTACAAAAACCTTCTTTACTTCGCACAAGAAAGTAAAAATAAATTTGCTTATTGTGAAACAATGGAAAAATTATCACCACACACCACCAGAAAAAAATCAAAACTGTCCATGGAAAATATAAAACAGAAAAGAAAATTGCTTGGCATAGCAGCAGCAACTAGCAGATGACATTGCAAGATTTGGGAAATTATTTTTATTATTATTTTTTATTATTTTAATTGTATGAAATCTGTTTCAAACATAAACAACTGTTCTTCATACATAAACAATGTTAAATCACTTGCTAAAAAATAATGCTGAATCTTATAATAATAATAATAATATCAAGTGCACAGCTATTAATCTTGTATTTCATAATGAATCCCAAATAGATACAAGCTGCAATAGTAAAAAGACAGCTCGTACACAGTGAATTGATGAAAAACAGTCAGAAAAAGGAAAAACAGTAGGGAAAAGATTGTGTACGTGCACATATGAAAGTTAACTACTGATTTAATTTGAATAATCAAATGAACTTTTCTCCAGATTACAATTCTTGAAATATTGTGCATATCATAGCAGGTATTATCTTGTTTAATTGGAAATTAATGTGTAACAAATGAATGCAGGAATTAAGACAAAAGTATTTATTTCTCAGGAAGTTAATAATTACCAATATCACTCCTAAGCTCCATAAATCACAAGCTTCGCTATAGCCGTTATTTCCTGGTGCTGGAAAGGTCTGTTTCAATACTTCTGGTGCAGCATATTGCAAAGTAAAACATGGAGAATTCATCCGCTGGTTGTCTGTCGGCATCAGTCGAGCAAAACCAAAGTCTACTATCTTCACGATGGCATTTTCAGACGAGTCTACAAACAGGAGATTCTAAAAAAAAAAAAAAAAAAAAAAAAAAAAAAAAAAAAAGTGCGTAAAATGTTTTAAAACAAAACCTCTCATATATAAAATTAAATACGATGAAATATTTTTTAAACATTAACATATACTTCTTATGGGCTTTAAATTTTTTATGACAGATAAATTAGTGGAATTTTATAGTATGAAAAGTATTTCAGCTTATACAGTTGCACAGAAATTTTAGGTGAAGTGGATTTAAAAAAATTCTAAGAATTTAAAGGTTTTATCACTTTTAAACGAGAAAATAAAAGAATTCAGAGAAAAAACATTCAAATGGCATCTAAAATATGAGCATAATACCTATTATTAGAAATGCATCCTATCATTCTGATAGTTTATTAACCCTCTCTTATAAAAGCCTTACCTTTGCTTCTGGATATAAACTCTTCCACAACTACACAGGTACAATTTATGTACTCATTTCATAATAAAAGCACAGCAACTGTCTGAATAAAAGCAAATATGACTGCACAATATCAGGCCATAAAATTTAAATAAAATCCATATTACTACTTTTTTTAAAGATAGTTTTCTCTTGCTACATTATTATAAAGCACTCTAACATTGTAGGTGATGATTACAACCTTTGAGTTCATCGTAAACGATGAATGACTGGTTACAAACTCATGATGAATCATTTTAAGAACAAAAAAACAGTAAGCCTTATAAAGAACAGAGTAAACAGTACAATCAACACATGATAATGCTCAAAAACTTGAGACCAGTTTTTATTTGCTTTATTTTTAATAGTTTAAACAATATACTTAATAATGTTTCTGCATTCCTGTGAATTTAGAATTTGCAATCCAGAAGCAAAAATGAAAATTCTTTAAAGACAGATATTTATACAGAATTTCTGTGTTCACGCAGTCAAATTTTACACAGCAGTAAAAGTGTTAACAATGTTTCCTTTCAGAAAATGTTCATTTAAAAAACAATTGATGAATATCTACCTACTATCAGCATCCATTAATATACTATCTTGCTAATAAACATAGATTACACTCAGATTAAATATCATCTTAAAAGCAAATATATTTAATTATTTTTTTATGTTCTGGCTGGGAATACAAAGAAAGATACACATACAAAAAATATGCATAAGAAGGTAGGTGATACAAAAAAAAAAAAAAAAAAAAAAAAAAAAAAAAAAAAAATATGCACAAGAAGGTACAGGATATTTCTAATCAAATTTTAGAGAAATACAAGCAAGAAGGCAGGGCATATTTCTAACCAAATTTTATACATATTGAGAGAATACATTTAAAAGGAATAAGTTTCTCTCAGTGATAGAACATATCTTGCACTGTTGAAAATATACTTTTTTTTTTAAATCAGTACTATTTATTAAGTTTTTAACTCGCTTTTTAGTTGAAACAGAAATAACACTATTCTGAAGCTATAGCCAATTTTAAATCCATTGCAACTGTGTCTTCATTTGCTTTTAAAAAGCAGCAATGACAAAAAATAAAAGATACAAATAATTTGTGATAAAAAAACACAAAGACCAACATAGTAGTCTAGAAACAGCATTTTAGGGAAGCTGTTTCATATTTATGATATGAATGTATTAAATAAGCAGAAAATTGTTAAAACTACCACCTAATAAGCCAATGCTGTCAAGAATCAAACTCTCACTAAAACTATCAGTATCTGCTGTTTTATCTCAATTCTAAGTTAAAAAGGTAACTGAAATAAGGAAATGAAGACCTGAATATTAAAGGAAAATATTTCAATGAACAGAATTTCAAGACATCTTAAGAAAGCATGATTTAAGCTTCATATATGCCAAACTAAAATATTATTCATCAATGTAAAGTCATTACCTCAAAAAGGCAGTAATACAATTATTTTAACAGTTGTTTTAATATTTTTATTATAACATTAATTATCTAGCACAGCACAAAATAAATTACACAATAAAAGAAACTGAAATGCCAGTGAAAAGCAGATCTTGTATTGCATATCTGCTGAGCTACAAGATAACTAATTTATTTCACAGACAGTATTTGGTTGAATTATGCAGAACATCCTTCATCAAGTACAAATGAATTTCAAAAGATTATTGAACATTTACTAGTGTTGTACACATATCACAACCCTAATTAAATAACAATTTAATTTATTCATGGAAGGTGATAATATTTACCTCCGGTTTAAGATCTCGATGAACAACTCCATGAGCATGCATAAAGTTAACAGCAGATACTAAATGTCTAAATATTCTATTAGCTTCTTTCTCGGTAAACTTATCCTTCTTCCTTATTCTGTCTAGAAGCTCTCCTCCTTTAAGTAATTCTAATACAACATAAGTATGAGTCTGGAAAAAAAAAAGTAGAGGTACATCAAATTCAGTAAACAAACAAATGCACACACACACACACACACACACACAAAAAGAAGACAAGCAATAATAATAATAATAAAAATAAAAAATAAAAAAAAAAAATGAAGTCTTGTATAAAATTATATATATAAGAAATACATAAATACATGAAAGAATCAGCTATGCATTTCTAAAAATTCAGCATACACACACTTAAAAAAAGGAGAATCTTTAATACTAAGCAATTATATAAGACTAATTAAAAATATATGAAATTAATACAAGCTTCCTTAATTTAAAGCAATTTTAATTCAAATTAATTTAGATGTACTATACGTGCAATATAAGTAAAGTAGTAGGCAAAATGAAGTACTTTTATAAAAAATATTACTCTGCATCTGATTTGTTTCAAAATTTTACAGAGTTTAACACATTCTATACCAAAATACCTCTAAAAATAAAGCAGTTTCAAAATATACTTGATGAAAAAGTTAATGAAAGTTAGAAATAGCAATTCTATGGAAATTTATGTTTGAAACTTCTGGCTTTGAAATAAGCTGTCATGAAATTTGCAAGGTGTACTTTCATCTCATAAAAATTCAAGACATATTTGTAAGTTTATTATAATAAAAAGAAAAGCTCAAATACAGAAGACAATAAAATAAACTGTATGATCTATTACATTCTGTTCTAAAATGAGGCTAACAAATAAGAAAAACTGCACAGTAAAATTATGTTTATAACTTGCATTTCTAATTTTTATACTTTTCATCAATATTTGTGAAGTACACTTTAGAAAATTACTGAATAAATTCTAACCTAAAAATTTAATAATTAATACAATATTTTAGCCCATACATTTCATAGGTAAAAATATAAAGCATTAAATGACAGAATTTTAAATTTTGAAGCATTGACTACAGTTTCAAATATCTAGAAGACAGTAATTAAAAAGTTTCACCAAAGTTTTATAATAGCGCATGACAAAGCATGATTACAGATTAATATCATATATATAAATGAAATTAATTATGAAATACTTTTATATGTAATTGCTATAATAAACATTGTAACTTACTCAAAAATCTCTCAATTTTCCAAATTAATGTAGCATATGTATGAAAAATATAAATTAAGCAAAATTTCAATCTTGGGAAAGATTGATCAAAAGAATTCGAAGCATATTTCTCTTTTTCATAATGCAAAAAACACTGTATTAGACAACCCCAATAAATATTTCCCATTAAAAAATTAAAGAGCACAAATATAATTTATGAGAAGGAAAAACATGCCATCCATTGAGCAAAATGAAAAGGAAGGAACAATTCAATAAACAGTTATGGTAAAATTTCTAAATACTTCTTTTGGAGGGAAGGGGATGAGGCCAGAAGGAACTACAGAACAGATATCTAATTCCTACTGTTGAAAGATTTTCAAGACAGCTTTAAAAAATTAATTAAAAAAATTGAGAGCAATTTTCTGGCAATTGGAAATAATTTACTTACATCATCTTGATATACTTCATACAAATTAACAATATTAGGATGACCCTGGCACAATTTTAGGAGTTGTATTTCACGGGAACTATCAATACGCCTGCTCACTATTTTTACAGCATATTCTAATTGAGTTTTCTTATTTACACATTTCCTAGAGGGGGAAAAATATGATTTTAAAACATACTGAAAGTAATAAAGTTCAGGGGCAAGGGAAATAAAAAATACATAATGTAAAATAAAAATACATAATGTACATAAATAAAAATACATATGTATTGATTTCATAACTTAACATACCTACACACAGAAAAACTTCCGTCACCTAAGAGACCTTCTTTCATTATAAGATCATAATTCTGAAAAAATGGTGAATTCTGAAAAAGAAACACAGATAACGTTACGATGTGATAAAAAAGTTTGGAATGGAAATTACACATACTATAAAGTCAAAAATAATAACACTTAGACACTAGTAGAACCATTTTACTAAAAGCCACCAGTTTTTCAGAATGCATATAAATCTGACAAACACATGCATAATGATTCTTCAGTTTTAATAAGCAAAGTAAACATTTTATAACCTCATAAAAGAAACTACAGATAAATTTCTGCAAGAAAGTAATATTTTGCTGCAAAATTACTAAAAGGAAAAGCTGAAAGATTTCAAAGTGTTGAATCTACTTTTAAAGTAATAGTCAGAAAATTTTCAACATAACAAAAGAAATGAAAACAAACACTTACTATCTGAATTTCTGCCAATAAGCTATGAAAATGTTGTGATAAAACAAAGCAGCATTTTGCCAAAATAATTATATAGCCACAATATTGTCAAAATGGATTTATGTGGCAGCCCACATATACACTCAGCACATGAGACTGTTTCAGGAAGTCACCTGTGACAAAATTTATATGAATGACAAATTTGTGCAATTGTCTGGTTTTTTTAAAGTGAAAACGTATCACTGTAAACAAGGAGAGAAGAACAGAGCAAAAAGAAGTTTTTTTTTTTTTTTTGAAAAATGTGTTTTATTGTCATGTTTTTACCTTTTAAAATTTTATTAATTGTATAGAATTCTTAACATGGCTCCAATTTGAAAATGGCTGTTGGATTTTGCGTATTAGATTGGGGGAGGGGAAATTAAATCAAACCAGAAAGTAACCAAAAACCTGTTTCAAAGCAGATTCATTTGCTGATTGATTTTTGAGATAAATGCCCATTTAAAGCAGACTCTCCCATACTTGCTATGTTGATTTCAGTTTTACACCAGGAACACATGGCTTCGCCATTATTTTTGCTTTGTTTAAGCCATTCAGAATATTCTTTCTTAGAAAGCCAATCTGTGTTAAAAACCCACCCATTTTTAAAGATTAGCTATACTTCAGCATTTACCGCAAATATATTATAAATATTCATGCATAACGATCGTAATGGACATGAATATGAACTGACCACATGGGATTTGGAATGCCTATAGTCTGTGGGTGGGAGGAAAACACACCCAATTTTATACCCCTTTCACAACTCTTTGACCAATAGAACGACATACACCTGTCTCTACTCGCATGAATAAAAGGTTAAAGGTTACGTTAACGTGGAGAAAGCTATTTCCAGAAGTATGATTCACAATCTGACGCTCCAGATAAGAAAGAAAAAGCTGTTTATTTAGTTGCAGTTTTGATGCGAGGAAAAAAAAAAACACTAAAAACAAAAACATATATGCTTTAGAGGAAAAGTAAGCATCTATAAGGGCTTTTATAATTTATTTTCAAATATAAGGACTTATAAGCACTTGTAAGGACCGCTACGAACCCTGTACTACCCATGGCACTGCACCATGCTTAAACATGTATGGATCAAAGTAGATGGATGTAAATATGACCAAAGGAATTCATGGATATCTAATGATGAGTGACAAGAAATCTGGACAATCAAAGTGTAATCTGTTATATCAAGTGCAATAAATGAATAATTCTGCCAGTTAATTTTTTTTTTTTTTTTTTTTTTTTTTTTGTAAACATTTGTAACAGCATGATTCCATTTTTAATTACACTGCATTATAAAATAGGATAACAATACCTTAAATTTTGCTGCCAGCAGCTGAGAAGTGTCTGGTCGACTATCATGGTAACATCCAAAGATGTCATCACTTATCACGTTTCTGCTGAAAAGTACAGATGGAGCAACGAAGGAATAATCCTATGAACAAAAAATATTTCATTAATAAAGATGAATGAAACTTATAAAAATAAAAAAGGCCTATTTTTAGGGCAGAAAAGTCATGTATTAATGTTAGAAAAGCTAATGCATGTCAACCAAATGCTTCGTACTTAAATTGAACTTGAGAATTCATAATCCAAACAAAAATGACATAATAATATACTCTATCTTTTTGCAATACAACAGCACAATATGATACAAAAAGTAGTGGAAATAAAATAAAAACTACAATCTAATCTTTTGGAACGCAGAACAACTCAAAGACAATAAAGCTGTATATCATACGAAATCTGTAAAATGAAAAAATTAGAATGATTTTCTTGATGTTAGAAACCTATATATAATAAATAGTCTTTTTAATTCTTTTGGGCCATTATGTTATGCTACTGAGGCATTTATTATCTTTGCATGCCAGCAAGCACTGCTATTTCTGCAATTTCCACATAGTCTGGCAAACTGTTAATGTACAAAGTATAGCCATTTAAGAGACACTGTAAGTTAACTCTATTGCAGTTAACTCTCTCACACACATACATGCACACGGACAAACTGAAACAGAGAGAGAACAATTTAAAAGTAAGAGATGCAATTCTTAATAATTTAAATATTTATTCTGAATAGTATATCTAATTTATAGCATATTTAGTTGATGTAACTTAAAGTAACAGAGCTGAATATTTGTATGAACATTTCACCAGTAATTACAGTTAAGAAACATACACCGATGAGCCAAAATATTATGACAATTCCCATATTTCTCAATGAACTGGTCTAGAGGACAAAAAGGACATGTGATTAAGTGGGGATGGTATTTAATTACAGCTGAAGAAGGTAAGGAATCATTCTTGCACTTACTTTCGTGAGTGATGGGAAAGGCTGCTGATCTAAGCGAATTTGAGAGAGGGCAGATTGTAATGGCCCAAAGACTTAGAATGAGCATCTCCAAAACTTGGTAGGTTGTTGTTCACAATCTGCCATTTTTAGTATTTAAGCAAAGTGGATAAATGATGGTGAAACCAGCAGTAGATACAAAGGTGTTGGGGGGGGGTCCACGTGTCATCAAAGAAAAAGAACATCTGAGACTGTCCTACTTGGTACAGCAAAACTGGCACCAGACACTGGCTCAACTGACAGCCCAATACAATGCAGGTCTAAGTACAAGTGTTTTGGAACACACAGTTCAGCAGACACTATTGGATATGAAACTGCACAGCAGACATTCCCCTAGTGTGCCTCTGTTGATCAAGCATCACTTTCAGCTATGCCTACAGGTGGGCCTGGGAACATCGAGAGTGGACCATGGATAAGTGGAAGACAGTTGTTTGGTCGGATGAATCACAATTTCTTATTCATCACACTGATGGTCACATAAGGGTATGCCAACTTCCAAGCGAACAGTTGCTCCCTCCTACAGCAGGTCATACAAAGGCTGATGGTAATGGTATTATGCTTTGGGGGATATTCTTATGGGCCTCTCTGGTACCCTTAGTTGTAGCAGAACAGACCATGAAAGCTGCGGATTATCTGAATATAATTGCGGATCAGTTGCATGCTCACATGGCGTCTGTCTTCACATCTGGAAATGGAATCTTCTAGCAGGACATTGTTCCAAGTGGCAGCTCGAACACCATCATCTTTGAATATCTTGACTTTGTGTGCCCATTGTGTGCTTTTCTCATTATGATAGTGTACAAACAGAAGTTACCACTTGAAACTATTAAGAACATTAAACACAGGACAATATACAAAGCCTTAACGCATAAGCTTGCACAGTGCTCTTTTAATACTCTAAACTGAACTAATCTGAGAAATGATGCTCTCTCCAGTCTTATAAACCTTCCTTGGGCAGTGAAGAAATTGCCAGTACCTTTGATTTCTTGGAATTGCTGGAAGGCATACACAATTACAGTTATATACGGCCAGATACACTCACAAGTTACATAGAGATCAGACCAAAATACCATCAAGTTTGTCAATAAAAGTTAGTCAACTAGCCCATTGCCAACTTGGCACTATCTCGCTAATTTCACAAGATAGCCACTTCAATGTTAAATAGACATGTCCCTGTAACCTTATTTTTCTAGCAAAGCTTAACACTCGAGGCTTTTTATGTTACATTATATAAGAACTTTCATATAATTTCACTAAAGTATTTACACATATACAGAATCTGTACAACATTTTGAACAGCTCACAAAACTCATTTCAGCAGGGGTGTTTGTGGGACCCCAAAAAATCCCCTGAAACTTTTACGGACTTACTACCGACATTTTAGAGTTTCGAGAAGGGGGGGGGAGAGAAATGAAAAATTACAATTATGAAGTATTGAATGACCTAATTATAAAAGTTCAATGAATTACTTTTTTTTTGCAAAATTAATAACCATAAATTTTTCAAACATATAAACTACTACATTTTATGTAAATATTTTAAATTACCTGTTTAAAAAAAATTATCTAATTTCTGCTGCTTTTTTTTATTTTCTGATGTTTGTGGGCTTGTCTTTCTTTTGTGGTGAACTTCATAATTGCAGGAAGGTTGACTTTTATTTTTTTTCCTCATTTACAGTTGAAGAAATTTCCTCGAGAACTGCACATGCAGAGGTAGAAGCAGTTTGCTCTTCTGCTAATGTAGAAGGTTTTCAGAGACTTTTATAGGTGGGTCATCTGAAATACATGTTTTATAAGTCCCTCTTAATATGTTTTCCCAACTTCTGTTCATATTCAGTAAGAGATCTTTGTGAATTAGATCAGTCATTGGATTTTTTTTAGCCATATTTTTCACATGAGGTTTCTTTAGAAGCCATTAAATCATATTTAATAGTCTGCACTGCATCTAGGGAATCAATCTTAAGAGAGGTTCTATAGTCAGTGACAAGTGCATCCATTAAGTTGAATGCACTTTCCACTAATGGGCCATGGAAGCAGCTAAGGCAGGCTTTGACCAATTTAGCCAATGTAGGATACTTATAATCATTTGTGAAATCATCTTTTAAATTAAAAACTTTAGACCAATATTTATCAATTGTACACTTGACTTGATTTCCACTTTCATCAGATGTGTAGAGCATTTCTTTGGTGATATCAATATCACTCTGGTATAACCTCATTTCAGCTTCTACTTTTGACTTTTCATTATCACTAAAAATATGGGACATAAAAGATAATTTTTCAAAAGCTAATATTGTACTGGTTTTACCTTTTAGCTCTGGATCTAATGCTGTAAAACTAATTAGATATGAATTTTTAAGGGGTAATTTCTGTTTCATATCCTGTGCTGTATTAGTATAAGCTTTCATCAGAGAAATTTGGAATTCTTTTGCTATTGGATTATTTTTTGATAATTTCTTCAGGAGAGTGGAAGCTTCTGCACCAGTAAATATTACTTTGCTAGGTAGATGGAATTCTGGATTTGTGACATCAACCTTTAATAATCATTATAAGATGTGCACTCTATATTTTCTGGCTTCATAAAAAAAGAAAAATTTTGCCATCAATTTATAAATACTGGAATGTATTAAATGAAGCATTGGTTTTTTTTGTTTCAAATAATTTAATATATGTGTTGAACTCTGGTAATACTGCTGAATATAATGCCATATGCAATAAAGTTTTGTTTTGCATAACAAATAACCCATTTAGTATTCTTTTTTTCCGAGCTAAAGCATCCTTTGTGAGTTGTTGGGAATGCAAGCAAGAATACACCCCTTCAACAATTTTTTCTGAGCTGCAGAAATATTTCTTTTATTGTATACAGTTCCAACATAAGAAAAATAATCCCCTTTATTAGTTTTATCCAGTAGTGAAAATAAAATGTAATAAGAGCATCATCCCACAGATCTTTGATTCTTTCTAAAAACACTAAAATGTACACACACCTATGGTCTGGTCTCTTTCAAGGGCTTAAGTTTTTTAATGGCAAGGGATTCACAGATTTTGAAAAAATTTTCTCTTTTACTGCAGCTTTTCATATCAAAATAGATGTCATCAGACAAATCTTCTAAGTATCTATCAAAACATGAAGCAAATTTTTTTGCACAGTTATTAGCTGTGTGACATGTGTTACCATCAATATCTAATAAGTGGAGTGCTTTGTTTGATCGTAGTCTGGTTTCAACACCCTTTTTTTTTTCCCACGCATGGTGTTACATGAGTCCATTAATACACTAATTAAGTTTGCCCATGGAATATTATTATCTTCAATAGTATTAACAACTGCTTTAAAAACAGCTTCTGAATTGCAAGATTCCATCTTTAGAGATGCAAAATGATGAACTACAACTTCATTTTGATTGTTGTCATAAAACTGCACCAATATTGCCAGTATACTTTCTTGAGCATTGCTAGTACTTTCATCCAAATTTAGAGAAAATGGAGTCTCCTTTAAAGTTTAATGATATTTTCCTTAATAGTTTTTGCGAGCCAATATTTCATCTTATAACATGCAGTAGTCCTGGACATTTCCAATGAGTTTAGTGCCGTCTGATCGCGGCTCAACTGTTTGCAGAGTTCAATTAAATTGGGAGCTACATTGAAAGAAAGAGAATTCTTGGCGATAAACAAAGTTATTAATACCTCTTGGCGTGCTTTTCTTGTCACTATATCCAATGGCCGAGCATCAGTCTCTAGTAAGTCATCAGTATTTTTTTAATTAGCATAATTACTTAAAGTCATTGAATGTCTAATGCACTTTGAATATATTATGTGCGTCACAGTTTTAGAATGATTTGTGAAAGCCTTGAATCCTTCCCCACCATACTTCAACAGTGAGTAACAAAAAACACAATATGCTTGTCCAGCAACATTTATTTTCTTGCACCATGTGCCGATGGTATCCCCATTACCATCTCTTCCTTAAATCCAATTCCACCTAAATGCTCTCTGGACACCTTCTTCTAATTGTATAATATCACTATTTATATCGAGAAATTTCATTGTGAAATTCTCTTGTGTACATAAATAAAAAAAATATTTCAATAAACGAAATGAAAAATTTACGCGTGCATCAATAAATGAAATGAAAATTTTACACAGCAGAGAAAAAAAGTTGAGAAGCAATCAATGACAAATAGCTAATACAGCGAAAAATCCCCCTTCTCTACTTATTGGCGCCACGCCAGGAGAGATAAGACCTTTGAATCCAGAGTCACGTGATCGCACATCTGGTTGAACGAAGTCTCTTCTATTTTTTTTCTGCCACGCCTACTTGCCGAAAAGAATCCAGAAGAGAATGTCCGAGAACTGGGGGAATGAGTCATAACTCGCAATAACGAAAGAACAAAAAAGAAGTTTTTTCCCCCTTTTCACGCATTATCACTGCCTTTAGAGAAACAAAGGAAAAGTTTTCACCACACGGACCGACCTTGCGTTTTCTGCTTTCAAAGCAAACAAAATTACCCAGATCAAAATAAATAAATTCATTATTATTCCTACTTCCTTTGAACGACGATGATCAAAGTTCAAAATCCCCGAAATTCCGGATTTCCCCGAAGCACAAACATCAAAAAGTTTATATATATATAAGAAACACGAATCACTGATTAGTCAGTTACAATCATAATATTAGATGTGAAAAGATATTAAGTTTTACATTTAACAGGCTTTCACATTCATGAAGCTTAAGTTTTCATATTCTTGAAGCTTAACTTCTACAGTGCCTATAAACATTTCCTTGTTGACATTAAACATTCACCTTTAAGTGCATAACAAACTTTAATATTTGTAAACAGATATTTGAAGTTGTTTATCCTTCCTACTAAAAGGTTAACTTACTTTAAATAATTTATCATTGTTAGGTGGCACAGCAGCAGGAGAATATGCAGGCGTCATGGAAGTAAATTCATCAGCAAAATTACTTGTATCCAATTCACCAGTAATCTCAGGAACAATCGGAGCTTCTATTTTCTTTTTTGCCAGATCATCCCAATTCAAATTCTTAACAAAAAGTAATATATTACTTTCACGCCTAAGTATTACATTTTTAAAATACTTAAGCGAATTATTTAAGCTGCAAGTATCAATAAAAAAAACTAATACAATCAAGCAGAGAACAGGAAAATAGAATAGCATTAATGCCCAATATTTAAATATTCTACCTAACAATCAGGTTGACAAAAAAGTGCATTATTACATATTACAGCAACACATACAGAAGAATACTTGCATGCTTCAAAACCCAGATGCACAGCTTACATTTCTAATCAATATTTTAATTGAAACTAATAGTTTATCTAGAATTTATAATGATAATTCACAGTAACTTTAATCTATTCAATTAATATTACTCTGATGCAATTTTCCTCTATTAAATGCTTGCCTTATATTTCGGTGTGTAATGTGCACCTATAGTTTCAAACTACTTTTTTCAACATTTAGGTATATTTGCAGTATAAAGTGCACCCTTTTTGTTATGAAGAAACCTCAAAGATACATATGCAATGTTGTTATTTTTTTATGTCGTTCATTTGAAGATTATGTGCAGGCTTTCGAACAATGGTATATTAAATTGATAAATGATAAGGGGAACAACATACGGGGGCATGCTTGAGGGAGTAAATATTCTGCAAAGAGGGTGAGTTGTATTCAATGTAGGCATGTACAAGAATGTTATTCTAGGGTCTTGAGAAAAGCACAAAATTTGAAGTGCAGATGAAAGGCTTACATAAATCACATTTGCTTTAGCTGAAATATAGTCAATCTAGTGTTACTTTTAGTAGTAAATATAGCTTCTGCCAAACGAAACAAACACAGTGCTAGTTTCAAATGCAAAGTCAGTCAATTTGCGAAAGAAAATGCAAATCATGCTGTAGCAAAAATGCTTGATATCAGTGAAAGCTCCATACGCGAGTGTGAAAGAAAAATGCCATCACAATAATATATATATACACCAAAAATAAATGTGCTTTGCAGAAGAGTAATGAAATGGCCTATCCTAGAAGTGTTGCAGATTGGGTCATAGAAAATCTCTAGAATTGCCAGGAACAGCATATAGGTAAATGTAAAAATCACATTTTTGTATGCTCATCTTTTCCTTACTTTTAAATCTATCATTTCCATATCTCTCGTATAATGCACACCCATAAATTTCTATCTCATTTTTTATATTAAATGTGTGCATTATATGACGGAATACACAGTAAATAGTATCACAAACTGTATAAACTCTTAAAGTTATGACATGCATTACTTAAAATGTGTTTTTACTGAGCTTTTATGAGTACTTAAAATATAATACTATTTTACGCAAATAAAAAAAACTTACTTTGAAAAATTTATGCCGCTTTAATTCTTCACTATCTGATGGACCACCACCTAATCGTTTCTTTGGATCTTTGACAAGAAGTCGCCGGATAAAATCCTTCACTTCAGATGATAAGTGATCAGGAATAGGAGGCAAGCCTCGTAGAATTCTCCTATTAAATTTGACGCATCATATTAAAAAGCAGAAAAAAGAATCATTAATAATTAAGCAAAATAAAGAAATTAAAAAACCTCAGAACAACAATTATTTCCTTGTATGAAGTAAAGGAAGTATTGTAATCCCGGGTATCATATTTCAATGTAAATATCCATTTTGACCGCTATAGAATGCAACATAACGATGTTTTCCATGACATCTGGATGTAAGGACAGAATAAAGGACTCTTTTTACCAAAACAAATTATAAAACTGATTTTAATGAATTCTGAAGAGATTTTTTTCGTGACATCTGTATGCATGTATGTATGTTACATAACTAAAAAACAAGTAGCCTCCAGATGTTGAAATTTTGTACACAGGACTGCTATAACATGTAGTCGTGAACCTTCCCTTTTTGTTGCAATCAGCCACACCAAAAGGTATATAAATATATATACAGTCAAAAGTCGTTAATCCGGACTCGATCATCGATTTTTCCAGATTCTAGATCATCAGTTTAAATCTGGTAAGATGGCATGCAGAAATTACAAAATTAAAAATATGAAACCGTAATTTATAAAATAAAGAACAATTATGATCTAAAGGGTATCAAAATTTACAAAAAGAAAAAGCTTAATATTTATTTGTTTACTTTATTAAACATTTCTTTCAATGTAAGTTGTTTAAGTTGCTTCGTTTCATGTGGTAATACTTTCTCTTTAATTCTATTAAACAGACATTATTTCTTGTTTAGTTACAAAGTTCCGCTGTTCAATTCCTATAATTGCTGTGTTGAGAATACCAACTAATTTGTCAATCAAAATTTTTTCATTTTTAATAACCTCTGGGTCAATTTCTTCACTATCGGAAGAGAATTATAATGACGAGGAACTTGATTTAAATCATATCAAAGACGAAGTACATCGAGATGAAATACTACACTTAGTAAGGAATTATAAGCCAAATAAAATAACAACATCTGCCCTGAAGATAAGTATAGTGCTGACAGATCAACTTCCAATTCATTGCGCGCTGCGGCGTGAAATTGATAAACAGATTTCGGATTTCGAAACATTCTTTCGTTTTGTAGATCCTTTACATATTAGTAAATATATATCGGAAATTCTATTTGACATAATCGAAAGTTCAAGCTTACTTTTATAAAATTGCTCTAACAGTCTGCAAAAAATAATAATCCGGATCCAATTTGAAGATTAAGGAACAACGCAATCTGCAACATTAACTGAATTAGATAATTTTAGCTTAGCTTATACCGTCCGTTACACATTAAACGCGCATGCGCACACACAAATTCACAGCCGTAAAGGTCTTGCGCGCACTCCTAAATGCCTGTGCGCATGCGTGAACGCGACACATGCGCAGAAAGTTTGTAGGTTTGAGGTCTGGATTATGGGTGTCCTAATCAACGACCTTTGACTGTATACAGCCATTCTCTTACTTGGCTCAATGAACTCGGTTTTTTTTATATGTTGGTAAATTGTGCCATTTTAGCTTTAGAAATGATTGAATTATATTGTTCTTATCTTCCGGTTAAGGTTTTTATGCCTTAACCTGCATGCAATACTTGTAGAATTATCAACACTTTAAAAGTTGCTTTAGTGCCGCAAAGACTAATTGTTTTTTGCCATAGCAGCCATATTTGTTTACATTTGAAACTTGGTAGAATAGTGGATTTCTTGCCAATCTAGAGAAACTAAACTTCGCAACAACAAAGATGTTTTCTTTTATTACTGTGAATTAAATCATGCTTAATCCACTCTGGAATTATTATTTAAGTTATCCCATATACTGACTCATTATAGTGTCCACTACCAACTTAAGTCGGTTTCTACACCTTCAGTGTCTTTTTACCGAGTGGAACCAGTTGTAAACTTTGTTTTGTACCCCGAAAAATCTGCCTTCTTGCCCACTGGCTAAATTGCTTGTTTTTGGGTAGAAACTAATTTTAATTGCAAAAATTGTTCTTTATATTGTTTTAACTGTATTTATGTTTTATATTTTTCAATTTTTAATAAGGTTATTTTAAGGTTTTATGAATTTTTGCTTTGTCACATCTGAGTTAACTGAATGAGAAATATATCTCTAATGAAATTCCGAGGAAATAAGTTTAAATGAAATGCAGCAAAAATGTGTAAAATTTAATATTCTGTACAAGGAAGTAATGTGGTATCATATCATAATAAATTCAGCACTTTCTAAGAAATATTCAGAATATGGTTATATGTATAAATATCACATTTGAAATTAAGTTTAGAAATAAAAAAAAGGATTTAAGCAAAAAAAAAAAAAAAAAAGTTGCTTAAGAGATAGGTAATTATGACAAGCATGTTAGAGCTATTCGTTTATAGAGATATATATATATACTCTATACAAAAAAATTTTAAAACGGAAATTGGCTGTGTTACAAGAAAACTAACAGTAACTCATGCAATCGATCTGTTTTGACACTAGGATATGAAAATCAGGATAAATCTACTATTGCTTCATGATTTTAACAGCTAGGCCTCTTGTAGTGATTCAAAGTCAAATGGTAGAATCATGACAAATCATTACATAGACTTCAGAAGACATGGTTAAAACAAAATGTTAAAAAGCACAATATTCAGGTTTGGGTTGGCCTGATTTAATCTAATTATGGCGAGGTACTGGAGGACTGTTTGCCTAATTGAAGGAATGCCTTTGTGGAACACTTTCCAGGGTTCGTACACATTTCTGCACATGAAAATTAAGTACTTTTAAGGACTATTAATGAAAAAAAATTAAGGACCTATGAGCAAATGGGAACTGAATTGAATAAATTCAATTAAAAATATTATCTATGCATGAATTTCACTTTTGTAATACCACCCTAAAAATAAAATAGATCCCTAAGTAGTATGCATTATTATAAACATGAATTAACATATTATTTATAAGTTTGAGAATAAAATAAACTTTATGCAATTTATCACACAGCATTAAATATTTTACACTTATAATAGTTGGACATATTTGAAAGAAGATAAGTGACATTTACATTTTACACAGTTGTACAGTTAGCTTTATGTTGATTTTTTTATGTCTCATTTCGTCACATACTCGGTCAGTCTAGAGGCTTAGTAAATAGCAGGTAGATTTTATGTCAAACGGCATAAGTTAAAATAAGAAGTAAGATCATAATCAGCTTGATTCATAACAAAAGCCTGAATGCTGTCACCGCTGCTGCTTGTCTAGAGAAAGACCTGCCTGCTTCAAACAAACCTGAAAGGCCTGAGGTAGGCACAGTTGGCAAGTGTTGCAAGTCAGTCAGCCTCTTTTTGATGCAGTTTACTGTTGTAGCTTCGTGCAGTTCCAGAGTTGTAACCCAGGGGTAGTATACTTTAAGGTTCCAATAAGCCATTAAAGCACCAGAGTTGCTTTGTATTAAGTTTTAAGTCTTACTAGATGCAAAGATTAAGTTTTACTTATCTCACTATATGCAAAGAAATAAGTTTTACTTGAATTTTTTTTACATTTTTGTATTTTATCCTTGTGACCACAGTGAGTATTAATGAAAGGCAATAACTTGCCTTTCATTAATAATATGTAAAGAGATAATTTTTAAGGGTAAACAGTTATCAAACAATTAAATTTAGGTAGTTTAGATAACCTTAGTCAATTATGGATTTACATGGCCATTATTAAATTGTATTTATTTTTTAACAATATTTGTTAAAAAAGCCCTATTACAATCAAAATCTAATAAAATTTCACAGTTTAAAATACACATATTTTATGACATTGATTCTTAAATGATATTAGGATAATTGCACATTAAAAGCTACAAAACATTTATATTTTGTAACAAAAACACTCAACAAAATATTTATCCATCATTTTAATTTGAAGCGTTCGTTCCCAGACATTTTGGCTAGTTTATATTGATTTCTTTTTCTTTGAGCATCTTTTCTAATAATTAGAGAATTGTCTCAATATGCAAACCAATGCTCTTGCTAGTTTCTGCATGGTTTATCGCCTAACTTGTCAACCTCTCCACAATGTACCTATGAGGGTTTACTTGATCTGGTAAAAGTTAAATAGTCCAAAAATAGTCCAAAACCCCCGACAGACGTGAAGCATATTATCGCTATGTCTGAAAGTAACTACAATATCAGACAAAGGTTTAAATAAGCCTCTTATTTAAAAAGAACTTAAAACCATAAAGGCATGTTCTGTTGCTAACAAAGTCAATTACAGCTCACAGTGACATAATTAAATAAGAACAGTCAAATTCAAACTAAAAATGTGGATTAGTGGTGAAAGATTATTTAATTTTAATTTAATCTGGCTCAAAGAAATGGAAAATTATAGTAAAGGCTGAAATCATAAATAATTGGGTAATTTACATAATAATAACTGCATATATCTTTGAAAAATAGTTTTCTTTATGTATTCAATTTCTTTCTTCAACAAGTTTCCTTTTCATTTTATAACGTTTGGATTTAATTAAGAATTTCTGTTATTCTAAAAAACACTAAATCCATTTAGAATGTACAAAAAAAAGCGGCTTATTTTATTTCTTTAGTAATATGAATATTCAGAAGAAATCTGAAATATATATGGTAAAGGCCAGTTACAGAGCTGATGTGGCAGAATTTTTAGAATTGAATGACACACCGAAAAACAAAGTCTAAAAATGGCAAAACTTTTAGAATTTAGAGCAGACTTTGGAAGCATAATTTAGAAAGGCACTAGGCAGCAGAATTTAGGATCCACACAGATTGCATAATGTGGGAAAAGCCTAGTGCCAGCTCTGTGTATAATGCATTAAGACATATCAGATGAATATTTTAAATTGTGAGTTTTCAATTTCTTTTATTAAAAAAAAATCCCTGTCTATAATGCCTGCTCATGTGATAAGATTAGAAGAATTTTTTATATTTTCCACACTTCTGTCTAGCGAAAAGTAGATAAAATAAAGGGAAGATAAACATGTTAAGAAAAAGATTTTAGTATCAGGAGTAAAACATTCAAA